ATTCCTTTATTCATTTACTACTTTTTTTGTTTGTTAGTTTTGAAACAGGGCCTACCACTGTCACCCAGAGTGGAGTGGAGTGGCAGTATCACGGCTCACTACAGCCTCTGTCTCCCGGGTTCAGGTGATCCTCCCACTTCAGCCTCCAAAGTAGCTGGAACCACATGTGTATGCCACCATGCCTGGCTAGTTTTTGTTTTTCTTTTTTTTTTTTTAACTTATTTTTGCAGAGACAGGATCTCCCTATGTTGCCCAGGCTGGTCTCCAACTCCTGGGCTCAAGTGATCCTCCTGCCTTGGCTTCTCAAAATGCTGGCATTTCAGGTGAATTGCTTGAGTCCCAAGTAGCTGAGACTACAGAAGCATGCCACCACACTTGACTATTTTTATTTTTTTGGCAGAGACAGGATCTCCCTAGGTTGCCCAGGCTGGTCTCCAACTCCTGGGCTCAAGTGATCCTCCTGCCTTGGCTTCTCAAAATGCTGGCATTTCAGGTGTGAGCCATTGCACCTGGCCCCATCTCGTTTTTCTGTATGACTGAAGTATAGCATAAGCAAAAGGAAAGAAGGCTGAATAGAGCCAATAGATGTTAAGAAGGGGGACAACATAGGACCAGATGAAGAACTGCAAATTAAGGATGATAAGTTTTTTGCTGCTGTTGTTTTTTGAGATGCAGTCTCACTCTGTCGCCCAGGCTGGAGTGCAGTGGCGCAATCTCAGCTCACTGCAACCTCTGCCTCTCAGGTTCAGGCGAATCTCCTGCCTCAGCCTCCCAACTAGCTAGGATCACAGGCCTGTGCCATCATGCTAAATTTATTTAGTAGAGACGGGGTTTCACCATGTTGGCCAGACTGGTCTCAAACTCCTGACCTCACGATCTGCCCACCTCAGCCTCCCAAAGTGCTAGGATTACAGGCGTGAGCCACTACACCCAGCCTAGATTGTCCATATTCTTTAGATAGCTTCTCCAAGTGCCCAGTATAATATTCCAAAATAATGAATATTCAATACATGCTTATTTATTTACTACATATCTATAGCTGGATACCTCAAATTTTGTTTTTTTAAAATGTACTACTATATGGAAAAACTGCAATATATTTTTTAAATACCTTGCTATTGGTGTTAAAGAGCCCAAAACCAAGGTGAAAGCCTTGGTCAGGTTAGTTTGGTAACCTCTCCCTGCATCCCAATTACCTGGAGAATGCTTAGGATTGTTCTGAAAGTAAGAGCTAGCAAAAGCATGGAAGGATTGGCACAAAACATTCTCATCTTTAGAAAGACAACTCAAAATGTGGATTCTGCCAATAGGAAGCCAGTGCTATAATGTTATTTTTGCAAATAAAAAAACAAAACATTCATCATATGACATCTGACCACGATAACAACAGAGTTCAGCAGTAATCAAGTCGCAGCCCCACAACTACTTACGTCACGAAACTGAACCTTTCCAAGTTCTCCTAATTCACTGACACAACAATAAGCAGCTTCTGACTGTAGAAAAAGCTGGGCCAGTGTCATTTCTTCACTCCGGAAAAGCTCCCCCATGGTGGCAGAAGATACCAGTCAAGTGGGTACCTGGATTTCTCTCCAATCTGAAGCAAAGAGAAATGACATAACTTTGGAAATTACCACGAGGGCTAAGAGCAAATGACACCCCACTAAGGCTCTTGCATTTGCATTTCTTCCACCCCATGAGGACAGGTCAACAACTGTTTTGACACCCTATCTAGAAAGATGGAAAGGAGAAATTGCAAGGGCAGTTCCTGAATCCTGTCCCACAGAGTGCCAGATGAAAAGTCACTTCCGTTCCAGTCAACATCAGGATCAAATGACAACATTTTGGGCAACTCAACATATAAGAATGTATCCAGATTAAAGACAGGAACTGAGAACCTCAAACAACTCTTTAAATACCCAGGACACAATATTGAGGCAGTGACTTTCACACTGTTCAATCTGTTTTTGCTAGTGCAGGAAACAAACAGAAGAGGCCTTGATTACCTCTCATAAAGATGTCTGCCTCTTGCGGCCGGGCGCGGTGGCTCAAGCCTGTAATGCCAGCACTTTGGGAGGCCGAGACGGGCGGATCACGAGGTCAGGAGATCGAGACCATCCTGGCTAACACGGTGAAACCCCGTCTCTACTAAAAAATACAAAAAACTAGCCGGGCGAGGTGGCGGGCGTCTGTGTTCCCAGCTACTCGGGAGGCTGAGGCAGGAGAATGGCTTAAACCCGAGAGGAGGAGCTTGCAGTGAGCTGAGATCCGGCCACTGCACTCCAGCCTGGGTGACAGAGCAAGACTCCGTCTCAAAAAAAAAAAAGATGTCTGCCTTGTAACTATCCTTCTCCCTTCTACTGACAATGCGCATTTCTAAAAGCCCAAAGTTCTGGCACTATCCTAAAGCTATGGCTACACTAAAGGGGTTAATCTTCCAGATTCCTCAGAAAATAGTGTTTCCCCCTTAGGAATTCAAACAAATAACTATTATCTGGAAAAAGCAACCAGCTTGCATATTAAGCTCAATTTCAAATCAAGCATGACAGGAACACACTGGTAATGACAAAGCAGTTTTATCAAGCCACAAAGAATAAGCCTTCTACCTCTGCAGCTTTCTGTTTCTCATCCCTACCTTCAAGATTAATTACATTCTTCCATCTGTCAAATCTCATGAGCCAATATAGGTTTCGTTTTAGGGCTGTCTTACTGTAGCCGGGTATGAGACAACTGGCGCTATCAGTGGTCCTGAAACTGCAATTATTTATTCTCTATCAGCTAATGTTTAAGGCACAGCCTGTCCAGTATCCAAACTCAGAAAAATGTACAGTATTTTTAGTGTCATAAGGGCATCTATGTTGAGTACTGACAGATGAGTCTGACATCAAAGGAAGATGTACTCTTCTAGAAGGATGGGAGACATTTTGAGAAATCTGAACGAACAAACCTTTGTGCATGTGATGTTCAAGACAGTAACTAACACACGCTCAGACATAAGCAAGGACTTCTCAAGAGAATATGTAGGTTGACGCTAAGATTCTGTACATCTGAATCATCCAAATCAGCTGTTACCGGCACCACCCTTCAACAAAGGGAGATTCTACAACCTCTAAACACATAAAATGAGGCCTGATCAGCAGAGTTCTGGGGCTGTGGATAATGATAAGCCTCCAATGAGTCGCCTCCCTCCTCCTGCTCTTTAAAGATCACAGGTCTCCCAAGAGTATCTCTATAGCAATGGAGGCTAACAGAAAACTAATTAGGCCAAAGTAGTCTGGACGATCACAAAACAAAATACGAAGAAACAGCAATTCTGCAAAAGATGAGTCCAACTACAGCGCCCCTGCGCCCTGCCTCGAAGAATCTCACTCCTGTCATCCGGTCATCGCCTCCTCCCACGGTATTCACCTGCTTCATTTCCTGTCTACCCAATGAGCAGGAATTCTCTGGACCCAGGCACATCTACCTTGGGATGGGAAAAAAGGAGAGGAAAACCCCCAAACTGAGAGACCCTTTAAGAAGCCTCCTAAATTCTTCTGCCTATCCAATAACCTCCCGTTCCTCCGCCTACCCCTTGAAGCAGGGAAGGGATTCGGGGCTTCCAAAGGGCAGTGAGCCTCCGGTTCCTCAGGACAGAAGAGGTGCCCAAGGAGGAGGCGAACCCCTATTTTATCTCGAAGACTTAAGATCCCTGCCAATTCCTTTGACAATCAAGGGGGCTCTTAGAAGGATTTCCTACGTCCATCGAGGGCCGCTCCCTGTTGCAGTAAACCTACAGACCCAACTCACCTCCAACCGCCGCCACAGCAACCGCCGCAGCCAAGCCCGCAGCCTCCGCGGCTCCGGGAGCAGCGCTTCGACGTCCGTGCGTCCGCAAAGCCCCGCCCCTGCGCCGCCGCCGGCCCCCGCCCCCGCCCCCGCAATGACCTCATTGCAGTTGGCCAATGGGACGCGGCCTTGCCTGGGCTGCAGCGGTGCGAAATCACGGGGATCGCAGGCGAGACTCGGCAAGCTGACGCCATCTTGGCCCTTGTGCTGTGTCTCCAGGCTGCGGAGGGTTAGCAGGAGGGGCTGGAGTTGCAGGTGCTTGAGGCCTTAAGTTTCTGAGCCTCCCTGAATCCTTTTTCCTTACCCCTTGTACTGAGGCAAGGTTGTCTTTTCTCTTTCTTTTTTTTCTTTTTCTTTTTTTTGATGAAGTCTCACTGTGTTGCCCAAGCTGGAGTGCAGTGGCGTGATCTCGGCTCACTGCAACTTCCACCTCCTGGGTTCAAGCGATTCTCCGCCAAGTAGCTGGGACTACAGGCACGCACCACCATGCCCGGCTAATTTTTGTATTTTTTTTTAGTAGAGACGGGATTTCACCATGTTGGCCAGGCTGGTCTCGAACTCCATACCTCGTGATCCACCCGCCTCCGCCTCCGCCTCCGCCTCCCAAAGTGTTGGGATTACAAGCGTGAGCCACCACGCCCGGATTTATTTTTTATTTATTTATTTTTAACATGGTCTGTTTCCCAGGCTGGAATGCAATGGCGCATTCTCGGCTCACTGCAGCCTCCGCCTCCGGGTTCAGGCGATTCTTCTGCCTCAGCCTCCCTAGTAGCTGAGATTACAGGCGCGTGCCACGCCGCCCAGCAATTTTTGTATTTTTAGTAGAGATAGGGTTTCGCCATGTTGCCCAGGCTGGTCTCGAACTCCTAGCCTCAAGTAATCCACCCGCCTCGGCCTCCCAAAGTGCTGGGATTACAGGTGTGAGCCACCGTGCCCGGCCCTCTCTTTATTTTTCATATCGAAAGAATGAATTCACACACACCCAAATAATTAATGTCTTCTCTATTTTCATATCCAAAGAATTCACACACACACGCACACACACACACACACACACCACCCTTTCCCTTTTCTTATTTTACAGATGAGAACATTTGAGCCCCAGACCGGGGAGAAGCTAGCTTTAGATCCTGTAGTGGAGTATTTAATGGGGTCTCGTTCGCATAAGTATGGAAAACCTGTCTTTAAATGGTACATGGTTCATGTCTTCCAGCAACTTCCCCGGGTCTATTTTTCTCTATTTAACAGGAAAAACCTCATCAGACCATATGTTGTGAAAGTACATTTCAGTCTTGTTTGGTAGATTCATGTGGGCTCATTTGACCACTTAAGAGTTTTCAATTCCTCAAATTTATTTTTAAAACATTTTTTATGGCTTGTACTCTTGTAAATTAAATATCGAAAAACGTTTTTAAACTCTGAAGTGATACCTGTTATTTTTTAAATGCCATTATCAAATATTGATACTGATTCCCTTTTCTTGCCTTTTTAAGGAAGAGTGGGATCTCAGGTCATTTGTGATAACCAGAATCGTTTATGATAACCAGAATCAGGAAAAACTCAGAAAACCGGTTATTCAGTCTCCCTGGGTGGTGGAACCCTATTGAAATTCAAGTGTGATGAGGGAGATATTCCAGATAAAAACTTGTTGCTGATAATTTTGTCAACCTGAAAAAAAAAAAAAAATCAAACCTGCTTTACCAACCTAAACAAAATAATAAGGGGGAAAAATGGATGTTCTATTTGAATTTATTGTCTCATATTGTGAGCGAAGATATAAATTGACTTTGATACAATCTTAAGACACAGAGTCTTAGAGCCATACCCTACTTCTCCCTGCTGCCTAGCTGTCAACTCTTCTGGCAAGACAGATAGGCACCCACATTTGAAAGCCTGCCAAGTTAGAGAAAACTATTACACAATGTCATTTCCTTCCTCTGAGAGTTAAAAAAAAAATTAACCTCAGTCAGCTGCTTGCTAACCACAAATTTTTCACACTCCACTTTTAAGACAGCCTTTCCTCTGGACTTACTTCAATTCCCTTGAACTCTTTTCATAGCTTCTTTGAAAGAATATTGTTTCAGAACTCCTTTTCTGTTTGCTTCCACCTCCTGCCATCAATCCTTCCTTGGTGTTCTATTTATTTTCCCTCCATGCTCTCTTCCTTGATGGTCTTGCCTGTTGTCAAGCTTAAACGTTTATGTATAGAACTCATATCTGTTTTTCCACCTGACTCCATTCTTCAAGACTCAGAAATGGAATTTCATACTGCCTGCTGGATAGTGCCTTTTAGGCAGCAGATGCTTGCTGAGGGCCTACTATGTGCCAGAGAGGGGTGCTAGGTGCTGGGGACAGAAAATGAAACAGACATGCTTCTTATCCTAGAAGAGCTCATGGTTCAGTGAGAAATAAACTTCCCAAATGGCAAGAGAGAGAGGAGTCCAATGATTAATACTTGCTATGTGCCAGGCACTTTTCTACATGCTTGGTAAATTCGAACTCATTTAATCCTCACAACAACACTAGGAGGCAGTTACTATTATTATCCCCATTTAACAGATGATATGGTAAAACTGAGGCATATGTCCAATAAGATCAAATTTAAAATGCTGTTGACCACACCTACAGCCCTAGAAGACATGAGCAATTCCATATGAGGCTTGGCCGGTGACACAGTTCTGAGTATCTAAACCAAGCTATTCTCTAGCATTTGTGAAAATGGCTAAAAAACAATTAAAGCCAGGTGTGGTGGCTCACGCCTGTAATCCCAACACTTTGGAAGGCTGAGGCAGGTGGATTACCTGAGGTCGGGAGTTCGAGACCAGCCTGGCCAACATGGTGAAACCCTGTCTCTACTGAAAATACAAAAAATTAGCTGGGCATGGTGGTGCATGCCTGTAATCCCAGCTGCTCAGGAGGCTAAAGCAGGAGAATCACTTGCACCCAGGAGGGGGAGGTTGCAGTGGCCGAGATCGTGCCATTGCCCTCCAGCATAGGCAATAAGAGCAAAACTCAGTCTCAAAAAAAAAAAAAAAAAATTATAAAGATTAGTTCTTCACTACCACAAAAAGAATAGAACAGCGGTAGGGATCTAACTGATAGAGTCTCAAAAAGTTATGACAATTGTTGCTGTAGTGAAATGATTAAATGTGGTTTTTTTATGTTTAATTTTTAGTTTGAATTCATGTCAACTGTCCAAATTTCCACCAGTAAAGAATCAGCTAGCTCATGTTAGCTTATCCCACTTAGATGGGATAGAGGATAATGGGGCCTAGAGGAGAGTTTTAACGTTAAGCCCAGTGTTTTGAAATACATATCTGCTCCAATGTCTTCTCCATAGGCTTCCAGTATTGGTTTCCTAAGGCCGCCATACAAATAACCACAACCTGGGTAACTTTTAAAACAACAGAAATCAGACCAGCCATGGTGACTCATGCCTGTAATCCTAGCACTTTGGGAGACCGAGGCGAGCCTATCACCTGAAGTCAGGAGTTCAAGGCTAGCCTGGCCAACATGGGGAAACCCCATCTCTACTAAAATACAAAAATTAGCAGGACGCGGTGGTGGGCGCCTGTAGTCTCAGCTACTTGGGAGGCTAAGGCAAGAGAATCACTTGAAACCAGGGGGCAGAGGCCGCAGTGAGCCAAGATTGCACCACTTCACTCCAGCCTGGATGAAAAAGCAAAACTTTGTCTCAAAAAAACAAAAAACAACAGAAATTGGCCACATGTGGTGGCTCACTCCTGTTATCCCAGCACTTTGGGAGGCCAAGGCAGAAGGATGTCTTGAGCCCAGGAGTTTGAGACCAGCCTGGACAGCACAGCAAGACCCCTGTCTGTAAAAACTATATATAAAAAATTAGCTGGGCGTGGTGGCACGTGCCTGTAGACCCAGCTACTCAGGAGGCTGAAGTGGGAGGATGGCTTGAGCCTGAGCCAGGGAGGTTGATGCTGCAGCGAGCTGTGGTTGAGCCACTGCATTCCAGCCTGGGTGACACAGCGAGACTCTGTCTCAAAAAAACAAAAACACAGAAATTTATTCTCTCACAGTGGAGGCTAGACGTCTGAAATCAAGGTGTCTGCAGAGCATGATATCTCCAAAGGCTCTGGGAAAGAATCCTTTCTTCCCTCTTCCTGGCTTCTGGTAGTTGCCAGAAATCCTTGGTGTTCCTTGGCTTATAGATGCAATCATCTCAATTGCTGCCTCTATCTTCACATGGTATTCTTTCTTCTTTATGTCTCTCTCTCTCTCTCTTTTTTTTTTTTGTTTGAGATAGAGCCTTGCTCTGTCACCCAGATGAGTGCAGTGGTGCAATCTCAGCTCACTGCAACCTTCACCTCCCAGGTTCAAGCAATTCTCCTGCCTCAGTCTCCTGAGTAGCTGGGATTACAGGTGTACACCACCATGCCCAACTAATTTTTGTATTTTCAGTAGAGACGGGACTTTGCCATACTGCTCAGGTTGGTCTCAAACTCCTGGCTTCAAGTGATCCCCCCGCCTCAGCCTCCCAAAGTGCTGGGATTACAGGAGTGAGCCACTGCACCTGGCCTCCTGTATGTGTCTCTGTCTGTAGGCAAATTCTCCTCCTCTTATAGGGACACCAGCCATATAGGGACACTTAGGGCACCACTTAATCCAGTATGATCCCATTTTAACCTGATTACATCTGCAAATATCCTATTTCCAAATAAGGCCACCTTCACAGGTTCCCCGTTATACATGAATTTTTTTTTTTTTTTTTGGAACCGAGTGTCACTCTGTCATCCAGACTGGAGTGCAGTGGTGCAATCTCGTCTCACTGCAACCTCTGCCTCCCAGGTCCAGGCAGTTCTGCCTCAGCCTCCCAAGTAGCTGGGATTACAGGGCCTGCCACCACACCCAGCTAATTTTTTTCTATTTTTAGTAGAGATAGGGTTTTTTTGTTTTTTTGTTTTTTGTTTTTTGTTTTTTTTGATGCAGAGTCTCTGTAACCCAGGCTGGAGTGCAGTGGTGCCATCTTGGCTCACTGCAACCTCCTCCTCCCGGGTTCAAGTGATTCTCCTGCCTCAGCCTCCCGAGTAGCTGGGATTACAGGCACGCACCACCAC